AGGCTGAGGCAGGAGAATCGCTTGAACCTGGGAGGCAGAGGTTGCAGTGAGCCGAGATCGTGCCATTGCACTCCAGGCTGGGCGACAAAAGCAAGACTCCATCTCAAAAAAAAAAAGAGAAGAAAAGAAAAGAAAAGAAAAAATTCGCCAGGTGTGGTGGCTCACGCCTGTAATCCCGGCACTTTGGGAGATCAAGGCAGGTGGATCACTCAAGCCCAGGAGTTTGAGACCAGCCTGCCCAACATGCAGAAACCCCGTCTCTACTAAAAATACAAAAATTAGCCGGGCGTGGTGGCACGCACCTGTAATCCCAGCTACTCGGGAGGCTGAGACAGGAGAATCGCTTGAACCCGGGAGGCGGAAGTTGCAGTGAGCTGAGACTATGCCACTGTACTCCAGCCTGAGAGCAGAGTGAGACTCCATCTGGGGAAAAAAAAAAAAAATTAGCCAGGCATGATGGTGCCTGTAGTCCCAGAAGGCTGAGGCAGGAGAATCACTTGAGCCCAGGAGGTGGAGGTTACAGTGAGCCAAGATTATGCCACTGCACTCTAACCTGGGTGACAGAGTGAGACACTCTCAAAAAAAAAAAAAAGAGGAAAAATTAAAACAAAAAAAAATTAAGAGAAATTTCTACCCCACAACTGAATACATGTATGGGGTGTCTTTTTCATTTCAGATTTTAATTTTAATTATAACTACTGTACTGTCCAGACCCAGGCCGGAGGTTTTTTGTTTTTGTTTTTGTTTTTTTATTTTGAGACAGGGTCTCACTGTGTGTCCTAGGCTGGAGTGCACTGGCGCAATCTCAGCTCACTGCAACCTCCACCTCCTGCTCTCAAGCTGTCCTCCCACCTCAGCCTTCCGAGTAGCTGGGATTACAGACCTATGCCACCATGCCCAGATAATTTTTGTATTTATTTTATTTATGTATTCATTTATTTATTTTTGTAGAGACAGGGAAGTAACAGAGTACAGCTTAAAATAAACCATTACATCTGTAGTCTTAACGATTTGTAATTAGAACTACTAGTTACAATTTGTAAAAAGGAAAAAAATAGGAATATAGGAAAAGAATACTATAATGATGCATATTTGTTTTGTTTTTTGTTTTTTCCAGACAGAGTCTTGCTCTGTCACCCAGGCTGGAGTGCAGTGGCATGATCTCAGCTCACTGTAGCCTCTACCTCCCAGGTTCAAGTGATTCTATTCTCCCTGCCTCAGCCTCCTGAGTAGCTGGGGCTACAGGCATGAGCCACTACACCCAGCTAATTTTTGAATTTTTTGTAGAGACAGGGTTTTGCCATATTGGCCAGGCTAATCTCAAACTCCTGACCTCAACTGATGCACCCGCCTCGGCCTCCCAAAGTGGTGGGATTACAGGCGTGAGCCACTATCCGCTCCCCCATCTCCATTTTTCATCATATTTTCTGATTGCTAGTATCAAAATGGTCTTAAAGAGTGTATTATCTTGCATCTTCTTATTGGACCCAGCAATATTTTTCATTTATCTGGAGGTATTTCAATTAATTCTATTAATTTGAATCAATTTTAAACAATCTAGCTATATAATCAGTTTTGAATAATGATATTATTGCCTTCTCCGTTTTACTTTAATTTTTTAAATTTAATTTAATTTTTTCTTTTTTTAAAAAAAGTAGAGGCCAGGCACGGTGGCTCACACCTGTGATCCCAGAACTTTGGGAGGCCGAGACGGGCGGATCACGAGGTCAGGAGGTCGAGACCATTCTGGCTAACAGGGCGAAACCCCGTCTCTACTAAAAATACAAAAAATTAGCCGGGCCTGATGGCGGGCGCCTTAGTCCCAGCTGCTCGCCTATAGTCCCAGCTACTCCGGAGGCTGAGGCCGGGGAATGGCGTGAACCCAGGAGGCGGAGCTTGCAGTGAGCCGAGATAACAACACTGCACTCCAGCCTGGGTGACAGAGCGAGACTCCGCCTCAAAAAATAAATAAATAAAATAAAATAAAATAATAAAAAAAAATAGAGACGGGGTTTCACCACATTGCCCAGACTGGTCTCTTAACTCCTGAGCTGAAGCGATCTCGCCTCAGCCTCCCAAAGTGTCAGGATGACAGGCGTGAGCCACAGCACCCAGCCTGGGTTGTTTGGTTTTGTTTTGCACCATTGGTTTTGATCGCACCATTGCACTCCAGCCTGGGGGATTAGAGCAACACTTCGTCTCAAAAAAATAAAATAAAGTGAGAATTGAAGATAAAATTACTGTAGCCAAGATTATGAAGAAAGTGTTGCAGGCAGAGGCAACTGCCTACCCAAACAACAGGCTTCCTACCTTTGGAGAGGCACAAGGCCTGCATGGCTGACCCCTAGGAATGAGGGGACGAACGTCTGCAGTTTGAAGTCTGACTTGACAAAACTTGTTAATGTGGGTCGGCTTGATAAGAACAATGCGTTTCCACTGAAGGGTTTTAGGTAGGATAAATTATTGATTAGATTTGGATTTCTTAAAATCTTTCTGAGCCTGGCATTTTGACTCGTGCCTGTAATCCCAGCAATTCGGGAGGCTAAGGAGAGAGGATTCCTTGATTTCAAGAGCTTGAAACCATCCTGGGCAATATAGTGAGATCCCATCTCTATAAAAAAAAAAAAAAAAATTCACCAGGTGTGGTGGCATGTGCCTTGTAGTCCTAGATACTTAGGAGACTGAGGTGGGAGAACCTGGGAGTTTGAGGCTGCAGTTGATCCATGATGGTGCCGTTGCACTCCAGCCTGGGCAATAGAGCAAGACCCTGTCACAAAAGAAAAGAAGAAAGAAAAGAGGTTTTCTAGTTGCTCTAGAAAGGTTAGGAGACTTTTGTAATAGTTTCAGATAATGATGGTGAATAGATAAACCCCAAACAGTTCATCACCAATTGTCTTCAAGCAGTCTATAATACAAATTTACTTAGTTGGCACATTCCTTTATATTTCCCTGAGACTATATCCTCTTTACTTTAGATCTAGGAATTTTTACTTTGGATCTAGGAATTCACAGATTTCTTCAGCTACAGATTATTAACTATTTTTAGGATGATTACATCCAGTTACCTGTAGATATCATTAAGCTGTAGAGGACAATCCGATCTCGAAGCCCTGGAGAGACTTCTCCATCATACACATGCAGTTAGACCACACAGTCTTCATTCCACCCCTACCCCAACTGCTGCAACATGGCTCACTGCTCAAACATCACATAGTTACTCTACTTAGGAGAAGCATTTAAGAACTTTACCAAAAAATATGCAAGTATGCGATTCTGGCAGGGAGCAAAAGCAAATATGGAAACTGGGAAATACCAGAATAAAGTTAGTTTTTATCTTTTTATTTATTTATTTATTTTTTATTTCTGGGATGAAGACTAACATAGTTTTTGTTTTGTTTTGTTTTTTGTTTTTAATTTTTTTTGAGACAGAGTCTCACTCTGTCGCCCAGGCTGGAGTGCAATGGCGCCATCTTGGCTCACTGCAACCTCCACCTCCCAGGTTCAAGCAGTTCTCCTGCCTCAGCCTCCCAAGTAGCTGGGATTACAGGTGCCCACCACCATGCCTGGCTAATTTTTGTGTTTTTAGTAGAGACGGGGTTTCGCCGTGTTGGCCAGGCTGGTCTTGAACTCCTGACCTCAAGTGATCTGCCCACCTTGGCCTCCCAAAGTGCTGGCCAAGAAGACTGACATAGTTTTTGTCTTAATTAGTATCATTACAACAGTAACTCCTTGCCTGCTTTAAGCCTCTAGAAATCAATTTGGGTGACAGTTCAGAAAGCGGTGCTCTTGGAATTATCACACCATTAGGGAGTTTCTAGTCCATCAATAGCTATCTAATATAGTTGGCCAAAGTTAAGAGAATTAAAATGATAGGCCAGGCTCGATGGCTCACGCAGGTAATCCTAACCCTTTGGAAGATTGGGGAGGGAGGATTGCTTGAGGCCAGGAGTTTGAGACTATCCTGGGCAACATAGGGAGACCTCATCTCTACAAAAATAAATAAATGAAATGATATAACAACAGATTTTGTTATCTTACCAAAATAAAAATAACGGTACGAATACACAACTTAAAACTCTGGATTTACTTTTAGTCTGTTCTTCATCTTGTAAAGAATTTAGGCCAGGCGCGGTGGCTTACGCCTGTAATCCCAACACTTTGGGGAGCTGAAGCAGGTGGATCACGAGGTCAGGAGTTTGAGACCAGCCTGGCCAACACGGTGAAACCCCATCTCTACTAAAAATACAAAACTTAGCCAGGCATGGTGGCACATGCCTGTAGTCCCAGCTACTGGGGAGGCTGAGGGTAACAAAGTGAGACTCCATCTCAAAAAAAAAAAAAAATAGAATTTAACAGTATTGCTGATACAGGTGCTGAGTAATAAAGTTCTGAATCTCTGATTAGAAGGTTATGACTTTAGAGGAAAAATACTTTTTTTTTCTTCCTGTGACATTCTAAAAAAGGGAAAGAGGCCGGGCGTGGTGGCTCAAGCCTGTAATCCCAGCACTTTGGGAGGCCGAGATGGGCGGATCACGAGGTCAGGAGATTGAGACCATCCTGGCTAACACAGTGAAACTCCGTCTCTACTTAAAAAAATACAAAAAACTAGCTGGGCGAGGTGGCAGGCACCTGTAGTCCCAGCTACTCGGGAGGCTGAGGCAGGAGAATGGCATAAACCTGGGAGGCGGAGCTTGCAGTGAGCTGAGATCCGGCCATTGCACTCCAGCCTGGGCGACAGAGCGAGACTCCGTCTCAGAAAAATAAAAATAAAAAATAAAAAAGGGAAAGAAGCCATTGTTTTATAATATAATTAGTGCTGTAGATATCAAATGTGGTGCTTCAAGCTGTGTAAATCTGAATCAATAAAAATTCTAAAGACAATGATCAAGATTTTAAATGTCTTCTTAAAACACATTTCCTCAACAGAGGGACTGTAAACACCATCTGAAAATGAATCTCAAATACTAGGATCTCCTTTCGGAGTGACTTGTTGAGAATGATAAGCACTCCCAATGACAAAATTATTCTTTGACCTTGAGGGATAGTTATTTGGTAATCTCTTTTTTAATTTTTTTTTTCTTTTTTCTTTTTTTTAAACAGTCTCACTATCACCCAGGCAGGAATGCAGTCGCACAATCATGGCTCACCACAGCCTCAACCTCCTGGACTCAGGAGGTGATCCTCCCACCTCAGCCTCCTGAATAGCTAGGACTACAGGCACCCACCACCATGGGTGTAGTTTTGTATTTTTGTAGAGACAAGGTTTTGCCATGTTGCCCAGGCTGGTCTCGAACTGCTGGGCTCAAGCAATGCACCTGCCTCAGCCTCCCAAAGTGCTGAGATTACAGGCATGAGCCACCTTGCCCCATCTATTTGGTAATTATATAGAACTTCATTTTCTTGTTTTGTTTGTTTGTTTTTTATTTTGCTCCTTTCTTTTACAGGTTCTTAGATTTGTTGTTGTTGTTGTTTTGAACCAAGGAAAACACTGTGCATATTGGTCAAGTGACAAATATAATATTTTGTTAATATCTGAGTAGTTTATCATGGTTATTATTTATCAGTCAAATAAAAGCCGAGTCATGAAAGCAGCACGTCTTTGGAATGCCTGAGACTGCCTGGTACCATGGACATAGACATAGACCACCAAAAAACACTTAGTGACTGATAAATAGTGTTAATAACAGTACTTAATATTGGGTGCTTACTAAGTAGTAGTCAGTTTCATATAAGCAATACCAGTATTACATGTGTTAACTAAGAATCCTCGCAACAGTACTATGGAATAGGTCATGTTGTTATCCTCATTTTACAGATGGGGAGGCTGGGCCAAAAGAGGGTGGATAATTTGCACAAGGTCATAGAGCAAGGAATACGGGAGTTGGGACTCAAAATCACATACTGACCTCCAGAGGTTTTGTTTGTTTGTTTGAGATGGAGTCTTGCTCTGTTGTCCAGGCTGGAGTGCAGCGGTGCAATCTCAGCTCACTGCAACCTCTGCCTCTCGGGTTCAAGCGATTCTCCTGCCTCAGCCTCCCAAGTAGCTGGGATTACCAGCACCTGCCACCACGCCCGGACACTTTTTTGTATTTTTAGTAGAGACAGGGTTTCACCATGTTAGCCAAGATGGTCTCGATCTCCTGACCTCATGATCCACCCACCTCGGCCTCCCAAAGTGCTGGGATTACAGGCATAAGCCATCTTGCCCGGCCTGATCTCCAGAGTTTTAAATCGCGATGCTGCTGCTGCTGCTTCTTGAAGTGTTATCTTGCCCAACCTGGGTGACACAGGGAAACCCTGTCTCTACAAAAAATAAAAAATAAATTAGCCAGATGTGGCAGCACATACCTGTGGTCGCAGCTACTCAGGAGGCTGAGGTGGGAGGATAGCTGGAGCCCAGGAGATCAAGGCTGCAGTGAGCTCTGATCCAGCCACTACACTCCAGGCTGAGCAATAGAGAACTACCCTGTCTCCAAAAAAAAATAATAATAATAATGTTATCTCACTATGTTGCTCAGGCTGTTCTCAAATTCCTGGGCTAAAGTGATCCTCCCACCTCAGCCTCCTGAGTACCTGGGAGGATTTTTAATGTTCTCACCACAAAGAAACAATAAGTATTTGAGGTGAGAGATATGCTAATTACCCTGATATTATCATTATACAATGTATATATGTATCAAAACATCACACTGTTCTCCATAAATATGTATAATCATGTGTCAATTAAAAATAAAATAAAATTGGCCGGTCATGGTGGCTCACGCCTGTAATCCCAGCACTTTGGGAGGCTGAGGCTGGTGGATCACCTGAGGTCAGGAGTTCAAGACCACCCTGGCCAACATGGTGAAATCCCGTCTCTACTAAAAATACAAAAATTAGGCATGGTGGCGCACGCCTGTAATCCCAGCTACTCAGGAGACTGAGGCAGGAGAATTGCTTGAACCCAGGAGGCAGAGGTTGCAGTGAGCCAAGATTGCGCCATTGCACTCCAGCCTAAGCAACAGAGTGAGACTCTGTCTCAGGAAAAAAAAAAAAAATTAAATTTAAATATCATAGTTTAAAATTGTTTCCGTCTTTGGTTCTTCTTGTGACTTTCAATATTTTCAAGAAAGCACAAGCCAAGAGCAATGGCTCACACCTGCAATTCAGCACTGTGGGAGGCTGAGGTGGGAGGACTGAGACCAGGAGACTGAGACCAGCCTGGGATACAAAGGGAGACCCCCATGTCTACAAAAATTAAAAATTAGCTGAGTGTGGTGGCTTGTACCTGTGGTCCTAGCTACTTGGGAGGGTGAGGCACGAGGATCCCTTGACACTAGGAGGTCAAGGCTGCAGTAAGCCACCATGTTTATGCCACTGCACTCCAACCAGGGCAACAGAGCAAGACTCTGTCTCAAAAAAATAATAACGGCCAGACGTGGTGGTGCATGCATGTAGTTCCAGTTTTTGAGAGGCTGAGGTGGGAGGATCACTTGCTCCCAGGAGCTCAAGGTTACAGTGAATTGTGATTGAGCCACTGCACTCCAGCACAAGACCTTGTCTCTAAACAACAACTAAAATAATAATAATCATAATGATACTCCTTTCCCAGTTTACTACCAAGAGTTATGCAAATGGAAGATGAATTAGTCTTCATGATTTTGTTTCTTTTCTGTGTATATGATTAATCATGACCTTGTTTGAAGATGTTTTGACAGGATATTGAATTTCAAAATTTAAGATTTTGCCATCACTTCTTTGATTGTGGAAATAATTAAGTAAAAGTTGAAGAATGAATCAAAGCATTCATTATGTAGGCTAAATGTGTTTATTATGTTAACTGTTAAGATTATTACTGGTTTTCACTAATGGGTTATTGATTAACTATAATGACCTCCTCCACCATACCTGGCACATCTTTTTGTGGGTTAGTTAGCCCTATAACTTCAGGAATCACAGTTCAATATTTTATGAGTTACAAGATTTGCAGAGGGAATCTGAAAAGCATACAGAATTTTTCTGTACAGAAAGTACAGAACACTTCTTCTGACATTTCTGACATATCTAAGTGACAAGATTTCTCAAAACATACATACTATATACTTTTATATTGCACGCCAGGCACGTGACTCATGCCTGTAATCCCAGCACTTTGGGAAGCCCCAGGCAGGTGGATCACTTGAGGCCAGGAGATTGAGACCAGCCTGGCCAACATAGTGAAACCCAGTCTCTACTAAAAATAGAAAAAATTTGCCAGGCGTGGTGGTACATGCCTGTAATCCCAGCTACTTGGGAAGCTGAGGCATGAGAATCACTTGAACCCAGGAGACAGGGGTTGCAGTGAGCCAAGATCGCACCACTGCACTCCAGCCAGAGTGACAGAGTGAGACTCTGTCTCCAAATATATATATATGTATGTATTTTAATGTATGTACTTGTAAATATATATACTTTTCTGTATTTATAATATATAATATATTTTAAAATATATTTTTAAAATATATATACTTTTGTATTGAATTGTACAAGGGATCTCTACATAACAGAATTCTAAGTGGCTGGTTGTATAGACTTTTCTCTTTGCACAAATTGTGTGAAATAGGATCCATTTAAGCATTTAGTTTATAATAAAAGTCTTTTTTCCTCCAAAGATGGAGCCTTGCGCTATTCCCCAGGCTAGAGTACAGTGACACAATCTTGGCTCACTGTAACCTCCTCCTCCCGGGTTCAAGTGATTCTCCTGCCTCGGCCTCCTGAGTAGCTGGGACTACAGGCACGTGCCACCATGCCCGGCTAATTTTTGTATTTTTAGTAGAGACAGGGTTTCACCATGTTGGCCAGGTTGGTCTTGAACTCCTGACCTCAAGTGATCTGCCTGCCTCGGCCTCCCAAAGTGTTAGGATTACAGGCGTGAGTCACCCTACCTAACCTGGAAAAAATATTTTTAAGTTGTTTTTCTTTTAGAGACAGGGTTTTGCTCTGTTGCCCAGGCTGGAGAGCAATGATGTGATTATAGCTCATTGTAACCTCGAATTCCTAGGCTCAAAGGATCCTTCTGCCTCAGCCTCCCAAGTAGCCAGGAGTACAGGTGCACACCACCATGGCTGGCTAATTTTTTTATGTTTGGGTAGAGATGAGGGTCTCACTATGTTGCCAGGCTGGTCTTGAACTCATGGGTTCAAGTGATCCTCCTTCCTTGGCCTCCGAAAGCGCTGGGATTACAGGCATGAACCACTGTATCCATTTGTTTTATGTATTTATGTATTTATTTATTTATTTATTTATTTATTTTGGAGACAGAGAGTCTTGCTCTGTTGCCCAGGCTGGAGTGCAGTGATTTCTGCTCACTGCAACCTCTGCTTCCTGGGTTCAAGCGATTCTCCTGCCTCAGCCTCCCAAGTAGCTAGGACTACAGGCGTGCACCACCATGCCTGGCTAATTTTTGTATTTTTAGCAAAGACGGGTTTTCCATGTTGGCCAAGCTGGTCTTGAACTCCTGGCCTCAAGTGATCTGCCCACCTCAGCCTCCCTAAGTGCTTGGATTACAGACGTGAGTCACCATACCCAGTCAGTTTTATTTTTAAGAGAAGAATTTATCAGATGTCTTGCATGTAGCCATAAGTTTCATTCATTCAGTAATTCAACAAATATTTATTGAATACCTTATCTATAGGTAAGCCCTGTAGGTAACTCAGTAGAATACAAAGACATAAATTGCAGAATTTCTGCTCTTCAAAAGTTTATCACTCAACTGGGGAGGGAAGGGCTGGGCTGGGTGGCTCATGCCTGTAATCCCAGCACTTTGGGAGGCCGAGGCAGGTGGATCACAAGATCAGGAGATTGAGACCATCCTGGCTAACACAGTGAAACCCCATCTCTACTAAAAATACAAAAAATTAGCCAGGCAAGGTGGCGGGCGTCTGTAGTCCCTGTTACTTGTGGGCCTGAGGCAGGAGAATCGTTTGAAGCCGGGAGGTGGAGGTTGCAGTGAGCCGATATTGTGCCACTGCACTCCAGCCTGAGCGACAGAGCGAGACTCAATCTAAAAAAAGAAAAAAAAAACCCAAAAAACTGGAGGGAAGATGCACAGCCAATGAACCACCAAGTTCTGACAATTCTGATCCCTTAACATTTCTTCAATCTTTCCACTTCCTGCCATCCTCAAGGCTGCTCCACTACTTCAATCCAGCCCCAGCTCTCCCTTGGTTTTCCGTAATAGTCACTATAACATATCTCCTTGTCCTCAGTCTTATTTGCTTCAAATCTGTTCTTCAGAATGTTTTTTTTTTTTTTTTCGTTTCCCCCTTAACATGAGACAGGGTGTTGCTCTGTCACCCAGGCTGGAGTGCAGTGGTATGGTTGCAAACTGCACCCTGGACCTCCCAGACTCAAGCAATCTTCCCACCTCAGCCTCCCAATTAGCCAGGACTACAGCTGCACACCACCACACCCGGCCCAGAATGTTCTTTCTAAAATGCTAATCTAAAGCTCTTTAATAAATCACCATTGTCCTCAGGATGAAGTCTAAGTTGTCCAACTGACTGAAAGTATTCTTGCTTCTCCTTTTTGTCGCATCTCTGAATGTCCCCAGCCATTCTGAATTCCTTTTAGAGTCCCCAGTTCACCTTGCTTGCCTTCCCTCATGCTGTTCACCCTGCTTGGAGTGTTATCTGAAGAAATATATTCATTACTTCATTTATTTCCTCAAAACATCTTTTATTAAAGGCATCTTCATGTTAGGTCCTATGCACCACCCTGGAACTTCTCCATGTAGTCAGGAGATGGATGTTTAAGTAGGCCATTGCACTGCAGCAGGCAAGTCCCAGGATGGATGTAGGCACAGTAACAGTGAGGGTCATGGATGAATCAAGTCCAGGTAATCAGCAAAGACACTGGAGGGATGGGGTGAAGAACATTCTGGATTGAGGGAGCTGAATGCATAAAGGCCCAGAGCTGGAGAGCATGTTACTCTGGGAAACAGCAATCAGTGTGGCCTAAGTGGACAGCACGAGCAGGACTGAGGGAGCCAGTGCCCAGTCACCAAGCACCTTGTCTGATTTGTTAGGGAGTTGGGGTTTCTTTTCTTTTAAGGTAATGAGTAGCCACTGAAGGATTTTTTTAATTTTTATTTATTTATTTATTTATTTATTTTTTGAGACAAAGTTTCGTTCTGTCTCTATGCTGGAGTGCAGTGGGGTGATCTTGGCTCACTGCAACCTCTGCCTCCCGGTTCAAGTGATTCTCCTGCCTCAGCCTCCCGAATAGCTGGGACTACAGGCACGTGCCACCACAGCAGCTAAGTTTTTGTATTTTTAGTAGAGGCCAGGATGGTCTCAATCTCTTGACCTCGTGATCTGCCCGCCTTGGCCTCCTGAAGTGCTGGGATTACAGGCGTGAGCCACCACGCCTGACCGGGATTATTTTTTAAGATGGGGTCTCTGTTGCCCAGGCTGGAGTGCAGTGGCACAATCATAACTCACTGCAGCCTCCTGGGATTCTGGGGCTCAAGTGATCCTCCTGCCTCAGCCTCTCCAGTAGCTGGCTACAGGCACACCATTACACCCAGCTAATTTTTGTATTTTTTGTAGAAATGGGGGTCTTGCTATGCTGCCCAGGCTGGTCTTGAACTCTTGGCCTCAAGTGATCCATCCACCTCAGCCTCCAAAAGTTTTGGGATTACAGGCATGAGCCACCATGCCTGGAAGAAGGATTTTTTTGTTGTTATTGTTGGCAGGGGGTAGTGGGAGGGAGGGATGAAGAGCTGGGGAAGAGAAGAGAAAATGGCATGGTCACATTCATTTTCTTAAAATGAACACTCTAACAGCAGTGCTAGAAAAAGTGGCGATTTGTCACAAATTGTTTAAATAAAAAAACAGTCTTAAATTATTTTTAAAAATCACTTTTAAAATTTCAGACCCATCTTATGAAGCTTGGACAATTGACCAGCATGCTACAGAATTTTAATTGCATAAATGCATACTAGTTTAAAATTATCATATTTTAATGGACCCAAAAGTATGAGTTCTTGGAGGGCAGGGGCTCTCCCTGACTTATTTCCTACCCTATCATCACCACCTACAACAGAGCATGGCACGGAGTGGATTATCAATACATATTTTTAACCAAGTGATTCTGAACTCTCTTCAAAGACTTCTTTCAAGATTATTCAGTGAAAAAACTCCCTGGTGGCTAGGCATGGTGGCTCATGCCTGTAATCCCAGCACTTTGGGAGGTCAAGGTGGAAGGATCCTTTAAGCTCAGAAGTTGAAGACCAACCTGGGTAATACAATGAGATCTCATCTCTACACATAATTTTTTAAATTAGCCAGGCGTGGTGGTGCACATTTGTGGTCCTAGCTACTTGGGAGGCTGAGGCTGGAAGATGGCTTGAGCCCAGATGGTCAAGGCTGCAGTGTGTCATGATCATACCACTGCACTCCAGCCTGGGAGACCAAGCAAGACCCTGTCCCACTACCCACCACCCAAAAACAAAAACAAAAACAAATAACAAAAAACAAAAAAAACAAAAAAAACACAACAGGCCAGGTGTGGTGGCTCATGCCTGTAATCCCAGAACTTTGGGAAGCCAAGGTGGGTGGATCAATTGAGGTCAGGAGTTTTGAGACCAGCCTGGCCAAGGCCGATGAATCACTTGAGGTCAGGAGTTCAAGACCAGCCTGGCCAACACGGTGAGACCCTGTCTCTACCAAAAATTAAAACACTTGGCTGGGTGTGGTGGTTCAAACCTGTAATCCCAGCACTTTGGGAGGCCGAGGCAGGTGGATCACCTGAGGTCAGGAGTTCGAGACCAGCCTGTCCAACATGGTGAAACCCCATCTCTACTAAAAATACAAAAATTAGCCAGGTGTGGTGGCATGTGCCTGTAATCCCAGCTACTGAAGAAGCTGAGGCAGGAGAATCGCTAGAACCCTGGGGGCAGAGACTGCAGTGAGCCAAGATTGTGCCACTGCATTCCAGCCTGGGCAACAGAGCAAGACTCCATCTCAAAAAAAAAAAAGAAAATTAGCCAGGTGTGGTGGTGAACACCTGCAATCCCAGCTACTTGGGAGGCTGAGGCATGAGAATCCCTTGAACCCAGGAGGCAAAGAATGTGGTGAGCCAAGATCATGCTACTGCACTCCAGCTGGGAGACAGAGTGAGACCTTGTCTCAAAGAATAAATAAATAAATAATAATTCCCAGGTATTTTAACAACAAAAAATCCAACAATACAACTAAATGAACCCCCCACTTGTTAAGGATAAAACTTTAAAATTTAAACAATTAAATTTTAACAAATCTAAACATTAAATTTATAAAACAATGTGTGATTACTTTATTATAGATCCAATTATTGAAAAAACATTACTATTGTTCGGTCCTTTTCTGCCTACGGAAATAATCATTGTCTTCCCAGCCCCAGCACAGCACATAAAACATGGTGGGACTCAAAAAAATATTATTTAAGTGAATAACTGACTGAATTAGTATGGAAAATGCTTCCTTAAACTTCCTTAAGCTTCACATTCACAAAATTCCCAGTAGAAAAAAAAAGTCTACACTTCTCTTTATATGCTTTCATCTTTAAGAAGAAAAGAATACACAGAAGTTAAGTATTATCATTGAGCCAGAAAAGATCTTAGGAACCTTCTAGTGGTTTGATCATAAAAGGCAAAGAGCTCTAATAAGGGCAGAACTGGGAGGAGAATCCAGATCTTCTGATTCCAAACATTTTTCTCTGTCCCATTTTACTACTACAATTTTTTTTTAATGTGGCAACATTTATAAAAATATTGTTTGGTCCTGTGAAATTCACTTTTTCTGGTACAGCTCAAACCTCTCTCTCCACATTGTGGAGTTATTGCACAGTCATATGTCTCCTGTAGGAGCAGAATTTGAAATATAGATGTGGAATTCATAAATAAAGGTGTTCTTGTCCTCTGAGTAAATCTTGTGTGTTTTTCTGTATGTCAGTTATTTCCACAGTATAAGTTGTTTGGCTGCAGCCTTCAACAACCAATGAAGTTATGTCATGCGGGTTTTGCTCTGTTGCCCAGGCTGGAGTGCAGTGGCACAATCATAACTCACTGCAGCCTCCTGGGATTCTGGGGCTCAAGTGATCCTCCTGCCTCAGCCTCTCCAGTAGCTGGCTACAGGCACACCATTACACCCAGCTAATTTTTGTATTTTTTGTAGAAATGGGGGTCTTGCTATGCTGCCCAGGCTGGTCTTGAACTCTTGGCCTCAAGTGATCCATCCACCTCAGCCTCCAAAAGTTTTGGGATTACAGGCATGAGCCACCATGCCTGGAAGAAGGATTTTTTTGTTGTTATTGTTGGCAGGGGGTAGTGGGAGGGAGGGATGAAGAGCTGGGGAAGAGAAGAGAAAATGGCATGGTCACATTCATTTTCTTAAAATGAACACTCTAACAGCAGTGCTAGAAAAAGTGGCGATTTGTCACAAATTGTTTAAATAAAAAAACAGTCTTAAATTATTTTTAAAAATCACTTTTAAAATTTCAGACCCATCTTATGAAGCTTGGACAATTGACCAGCATGCTACAGAATTTTAATTGCATAAATGCATACTAGTTTAAAATTATCATATTTTAATGGACCCAAAAGTATGAGTTCTTGGAGGGCAGGGGCTCTCCCTGACTTATTTCCTACCCTATCATCACCACCTACAACAGAGCATGGCACGGAGTGGATTATCAATACATATTTTTAACCAAGTGATTCTGAACTCTCTTCAAAGACTTCTTTCAAGATTATTCAGTGAAAAAACTCCCTGGTGGCTAGGCATGGTGGCTCATGCCTGTAATCCCAGCACTTTGGGAGGTCAAGGTGGAAGGATCCTTTAAGCTCAGAAGTTGAAGACCAACCTGGGTAATACAATGAGATCTCATCTCTACACATAATTTTTTAAATTAGCCAGGCGTGGTGGTGCACATTTGTGGTCCTAGCTACTTGGGAGGCTGAGGCTGGAAGATGGCTTGAGCCCAGATGGTCAAGGCTGCAGTGTGTCATGATCATACCACTGCACTCCAGCCTGGGAGACCAAGCAAGACCCTGTCCCACTACCCACCACCCAAAAACAAAAACAAAAACAAATAACAAAAAACAAAAAAAACAAAAAAAACACAACAGGCCAGGTGTGGTGGCTCATGCCTGTAATCCCAGAACTTTGGGAAGCCAAGGTGGGTGGATCAATTGAGGTCAGGAGTTTTGAGACCAGCCTGGCCAAGGCCGATGAATCACTTGAGGTCAGGAGTTCAAGACCAGCCTGGCCAACACGGTGAGACCCTGTCTCTACCAAAAATTAAAACACTTGGCTGGGTGTGGTGGTTCAAACCTGTAATCCCAGCACTTTGGGAGGCCGAGGCAGGTGGATCACCTGAGGTCAGGAGTTCGAGACCAGCCTGTCCAACATGGTGAAACCCCATCTCTACTAAAAATACAAAAATTAGCCAGGTGTGGTGGCATGTGCCTGTAATCCCAGCTACTGAAGAAGCTGAGGCAGGAGAATCGCTAGAACCCTGGGGGCAGAGACTGCAGTGAGCCAAGATTGTGCCACTGCATTCCAGCCTGGGCAACAGAGCAAGACTCCATCTCAAAAAAAAAAAAGAAAATTAGCCAGGTGTGGTGGTGAACACCTGCAATCCCAGCTACTTGGGAGGCTGAGGCATGAGAATCCCTTGAACCCAGGAGGCAAAGAATGTGGTGAGCCAAGATCATGCTACTGCACTCCAGCTGGGAGACAGAGTGAGACCTTGTCTCAAAGAATAAATAAATAAATAATAATTCCCAGGTATTTTAACAACAAAAAATCCAACAATACAACTAAATGAACCCCCCACTTGTTAAGGATAAAACTTTAAAATTTAAACAATTAAATTTTAACAAATCTAAACATTAAATTTATAAAACAATGTGTGATTACTTTATTATAGATCCAATTATTGAAAAAACATTACTATTGTTCGGTCCTTTTCTGCCTACGGAAATAATCATTGTCTTCCCAGCCCCAGCACAGCACATAAAACATGGTGGGACTCAAAAAAATATTATTTAAGTGAATAACTGACTGAATTAGTATGGAAAATGCTTCCTTAAACTTCCTTAAGCTTCACATTCACAAAATTCCCAGTAGAAAAAAAAAGTCTACACTTCTCTTTATATGCTTTCATCTTTAAGAAGAAAAGAATACACAGAAGTTAAGTATTATCATTGAGCCAGAAAAGATCTTAGGAACCTTCTAGTGGTTTGATCATAAAAGGCAAAGAGCTCTAATAAGGGCAGAACTGGGAGGAGAATCCAGATCTTCTGATTCCAAACATTTTTCTCTGTCCCATTTTACTACTACAATTTTTTTTTAATGTGGCAACATTTATAAAAATATTGTTTGGTCCTGTGAAATTCACTTTTTCTGGTACAGCTCAAACCTCTCTCTCCACATTGTGGAGTTATTGCACAGTCATATGTCTCCTGTAGGAGCAGAATTTGAAATATAGATGTGGAATTCATAAATAAAGGTGTTCTTGTCCTCTGAGTAAATCTTGTGTGTTTTTCTGTATGTCAGTTATTTCCACAGTATAAGTTGTTTGGCTGCAGCCTTCAACAACCAATGAAGTTATGTCATGCATAAGACCTTGCGCATTTCATGTTTGCTGGGGCCAATAAAAGCAAATTCTCTCATGCTCTCCTACCGAGAACCTCATTATGATGTCCGGCTGGTTGCCTTTTTAGATCTGCATGTGATTCTACTTCTTTCTCTAGATTCCAGGACAGGCAGAGTTTGTCTTGGAAGCTCCGTTTACTCTGTCCTCCTTACTGGCTCTCTTTTTGACCCTTTAGGTCCTTTAGGGGTCCTCTTTTCCTCCCCTAGCTACCCTTCCCCTAACCCCCACCCTCACCTGGCAATGTATCTTTCACTTGCAAATTTTTCAGTCCCACTCAAGCTTAAATGTCTGAAAGCACTCTTCTCACCCACACCATTCACCCGTGAGAAAAACTATAAGGGAGAAAAAACACTGGCTTCATCCTCAGTTTTGCTTCCCTAAAGGAAGAGACCAGAAGATAATTCTTCTAGGAGTTGCCCCTGATGGCCTTAGGGCTGCCTACAGTCCTCTGGGTCCTCTCTGGAGAGAACTGCTTTGGAATGTGAAAAGACCATGGCAGAAAGGAAAGGGAAGGCTTGTTCTTCCTTTCTTGGTTCCAGTCCATGGAAGGGCACTCACATCACTCACAACAAGGATTCAGCCAGAGCGTCCAGATAGCTGTGCTGAGCTCTGTAACAGGATAATAGGAAGGTGGAAGCCCCAACAGGCCACATTCCACATTTTCAATGAGGTGTTAGGAACAAGTAAACTCTTTTGATGGAAAGGTGATGAAGAGTTGTTTAAACGTCCAACGACCCCTTGCTGGTCTTTCCCAGGCTTACTTATTTCAAGGACTACCTTTTGTCTCTTTGTATCTTTCTCTAGCATCAGAGCTGACCCTACTAGAAAATAAGATTGTACACGACTGGGTGAAGAATTCCATTGACCTGCCTCCAGTCTTTTCTAGCCATGGAGTGGAAGCATGAACTTACAAAACAGGCCATTGTGGACCATCCTGGATTTTGAAAATGCTGGAAAGAGTCAGTGGATGGAAGCTCTCTAAACCTTTGGACTAATCTGTGTACAGCATTGGTTTCTTGGCCTCCTGGAAATCTGAGAAGTTTGCATGTGACGGGGAGGTTTGTATCCTGGTAAGAGAGAAAGGGAGGAAGATGCTGAAACTGTTTATACTGCTGTCATTCACAAAATCTTCTTACTTCTTCTCCATAGCTTCCTTGAGTTGAGCCCACTGGCCTATCACAACCATGATGCTTCTGCCTGGAGGAATGCAAATACCACCTGGGTAATTAAGTCTGTGATCTTAATTATCTCCCACTTAATTGCCTCTGAAGGACAACCCTGCGCTGTTTTCTATTTCCTCAGCCTGGCATGTCTGC